AAACAGAAGGCTGGGGCTTAGACTCCGTGCCCTGAGGAATTCTGGCCTGTGGGTCATTAGAGGCTACCGCCAAGTCTTGAGGAGACAAACCAGTAATATACAGTGACAGAGTTCTCTCATCAATCAGCAGCAGGAATAGCTAATTCTGAGCAGCTTGGGCTTTCCAAGATCTGTGTCACTCTGAGAATTAGAGAGCAGGCTTTCTCATGACCATTCTCCACAGATGAACAGCAAATGCAGCAATATCAGAATCCCCTTTCATCACAGAGTACTCACTGTTTATGGATTGTTCTCTAAATAGCATTAGACAGCAGTAGAAATCCTCTCTCTTTCAGCAGCTCCAGACGTTGAGAGACACATGCACTTGAGTGGCTGTAATCCTCAGTGTCAGGCAGGACAATCCTTGATTTGCACACTGTCCTCCTGCAACAATTCCTCTGCTACACACTCCCAGCCCAGTCCATAGGTTTTAGCAGAACAGAGAGTGAGACTTTTGTGACTTTACACCAGGAGCCCTTGCTCCATGCGGTCCCCTGAAAATGTCTCCTACCCCACATGTGCTTCTTCTTCCTTTTTCCTCTCTCCTTTCCTTCACAGCCAATCATAAGTCCAGCTGCAACAGTGCTGCTATGGGTGGATCCTTCTCAGCTGTAGCAACAACCAATCAGAGCACAGTTATGCTTTCCCTGTCTGTCACTCACAAAGAGGGAAAAGAAAAAATAAATGTTTTGCAGCTGCTGTTTAAGATTTAAAGCAACCAGCACATCTCTACAACAGTTATTGTTCATGTGTCAATGTCACTCTCATGTGCCACCCTAGTCAGTGTGATACTAGGCAGTTTCTGGAGCCTTTGGCGAATGAAAAGAGACTTCTTACTAACTGTGTTATGCAAAGTGGTATCTGTGTTGTATGTACATTACCTGTGTTAAATCAGCCAGTTCTTTTTCAGGGTTTGTTTCTTCAAAAAAACCCATATAAAATATTCTCAGTGTCGGAGTGTTCTGGGTATATCGGAGATGTCACCAGGTGGGAGCTGAACCTATATATCTAGCCAAGCATCACCCAAGGGGGTGCTACAACTGAATAAAGGAAGAAGAAATAAATGTAACTCTTATGTAACCAACTGTTCAACAAACATCTCTTATTACATATAGAAAAGTCTTACAAACACAGAACACAAAATACAAATGTATAGCTAATGAGAGCGATCCCGCCAAACCTGATCCTTCTGGGGGAGACAATGCAAAAATATATATCAATCCACTCATAATGACATCATCTTCTGGGAGTGTCTGCACATTCATCCATTTCATACACCTTTCATTTTTCATTTTCTCAGCGGATCTCCTGCAGCCTATTAGCACCCATTTCCCTTTCTATGTCTCAGCAGATCTCCTGCATCCTATTAGCGCACATTTCCCTTTCTATGTCTCAGCAGATCTCCTGCAGCCTATTAGTGCCCATTTCCCTTTCTATGTTCAGCAGATCTCTTGTAACCTATTAGCACCCATTTCCCTTTCTATGTCTAAGCAGATTTCCTGCAGCCTATTAGCACCCATTTCCCTTTCCATGTCTCAGCAGATCTCGTGAGGGAAGGACGAGGGATGGCAGAGACAGCAGGGACAGCAGGGGGGCCTGAGAGGAAGGACGATGGATGGCAGGGAAAGCAGGAAAAGAGCAGGGGTGCTGAGAGGGGGAAACAGCTGTGACAGGGACATTCTGGGTAGTCTGTCTCTCTATCAGATATGAAGGATGGGTACATTTTAGGTAGTCTGTCTCTCTCTCTGATTTGAAGGATGGACATTCTGGGTAGTCTGTCTCTCTCTGTTATGAAGGTTGGGACATTCTGGGTAGTCTGTCTATCTCTGATATGAAGGATGGGACACTCCGGGTAGTCTGTCACGGTCTCTGATATGAAGGATGTTACAGTCTCTGGGTAGTCTGTCTCTCTCTGATATGAAGGATGGGACATTCTGGGTAGTCTGTCTCTCTCTGATATGAAGGACGGGACATTCTGGGTAGTCTGTCTCTCTCTGATATGAAGGACGGGACATTCTGGGTAGGCTGTCTCTCTCTGATATGAAGGACGGGACATTCTGGGTAGGCTGTCTCTCTCTGATATGAAGGATGGGACATTCTGGGTAGTCTAGAAATTCTGAAGGCCCCTCTGCACACTGGTATATACCTTTTCAAGCAGACTATGCAATAAATAGGGATATTTAGTTCACACATATTGCAATACAGGCTTAAGCTGCCAAAGTAATCCCTCTATGGCCAGTCCTACTCTGCTCTGCCTATGTAAATGCTACTGTGGACACAATGCCAACATAGGTGAAAAGACACAATGGGGAGAGCTACAAGGTTCAGGTCTGGCTACTGACCCAACAATACAATGCTAGTGCATGCATTTATCCATCAGGTGCTAGAGGGGTGTAACCACATATTAACACCAGAAATTCTGAAAAAAACCCTCTGCACACTGCTATATACCCTTTCAAGCAGACTATGCAACCTTTTAGCTCTCCCCCATTGAGTCTTTTCCCCTATGTTGGCATGGTGTCCACAGTAGCATTTGCGTAGGCAGAGCAGAGTAGGACTGGCCATAGAGGGATCACTTTGACGCAGTTGGCAGCTTAAGCATGTATTGCAATATGTGTGAACTAAATATCCCTATTTATTGCATAGTCTGCTTGAAGGGTATATAGCAGTGTGCAGAGGGGCCTCAGAATTTCTAGTGTTAATATGTGGTCTACACCCCTTTAGCACCTGATGGATAAATGCATGCACTAGGATTTGAGCACAGTTTTCTCTTGTTTGTTTGTTTATTCTGGGTAGTCTCTCTCTCTCTGATATGAAGGACGGGACATTCTGGGTAGTCTGTCTCTCTCTGATATGAAGGACGGGACATTCTGGGTAGTCTGTCTCTCTCTGATATGAAGGTTGGGACTTTCTGGGTAGTCTGTCTCGGTCTCTGATAGGAAGGACTGGGGCTTTCTGGGTAGCCTCTGTTCTCTCTCTATGATAGGACGGACGGGACATTATGGGTAGTCTGTCTCTCTCTGATATGAAGGACGGGGACATTCTGGGTAGTCTGTCTCTCTCTCTGATAGGAAGGACGGGACATTCTGGGTAGTCTGTCTCTGATATGAAGGACGGGACATTCTGGGTAGTCTGTCTCTCTGTCTCTGATATGAAGGACGGGACATTCTGGGTAGTCTGTCTCTCTCGGTCTCTGATAGGAAGGACGGGACATTCTGGGTAGTCTCTCTCGGTCTCTGATAGGAAGGATGGGACAATCTGGGTAGTCTGTCTCGGTCTCTGATAGGAAGGACGAGACATTCTGGATAGTCTGCTGATTTTGGAGGTCTCTGTTTTATTATGTATTCCTTTGTTTTTTATCTTGTGTTCTGTGTCTTTAAGACTTTTCTATCTGTAGTAAAATATCTTTTTTAAACAGTTGGTTGCATAAGAGTTAGGTTTATTGTTTCTTACTTTTTTTAGTTATTTTGGCTCTCTTCCCTGGTATCTCTGTAAGGTAGATACAATGCAGGAATTGTTATTAAGGTACATTTCTCGGGGGCTGCAGTTCCACTGAAATCCACAAGATGGTGATCTTCATATCTACTACCCAGACAGGACTTCTTTATGGAATACAGACAGGAAGTGATGTCAGGTACAGACAGGAAGTGATGTCAAGAACAAACAGGAAGTGAAGACAGGAACAGACAGGAACTCATTTTGAATAAAGGCAGGCTTTGCCATGAGGGCGCGGAGGGGCGGGGGGGTAGGGGGCGGAGCTAGGGGGGGCAGGGGGCTGTTAAACGATCATTAGGGGGAAGGGGATTCAGGGAGGGGTACGGCTGGGTGGTTTTTTCGGTAACGGGGGGGGGGGTGGGGGGGGGATGGAGCTCAGAGATGTCCGGGGGGGTCCTTCTGTATTTCCATTCGCCGGGAGTCCACACAGGAAGGTCACAAAAACCATCCCCTACACCATCACTCAATCAGGTAGATGATGACAATTATTGGTAGTTGTGATTTATACACAGCATGTTTGTTACAATGAAATGTTTTTATTTATATCTTTCAGAGTGGAATCCTCGGGGATGATAATATTGATGTTAAAAAGATGAGTATAAAGAGGAGGATGTGGGGAGTATGGAGTGATGGAGGGAGTTTTTCAGAAGGACACAAGGATATGATGGAGCCACCTAATACCAGGAACCCACCAGAGAGATGTCCCCGAGTCCTCTGTAAATCCCGGGATTCCACACAGGAAGGTACACACCATCCCTCACTATTACAAGGGTGAGGGGTGGGAAGGAGAATCTAGAACATGGACTTGTACCAATTTGTGATGTTGAATTATATTTTACAGATGATATTTCCTCTCATTCCTTGATTTAGAGTGGAGATCCAATCGATTATAGAATTTGAGGTGAAAGCAGAAGAAGAAGAGGCGTATGTGAGGGATGATCAGCAGTCTATGGAGGGGATGGATGGAATAACGGGGACATTATAGAGGAGGAACACTCCTACAGAGATCAGCACAGGTGGGGTCATGAACAACTGGAAATCCCTTCCTCCCACCCAATACAACTGCTTACACAGATGGGTCCAGGGGATAACAGTACTCATTGGCGCTCGGACTGGGTTGATATCAGCCTGCGTATGATGAGGAGGGGGGTGGGTCAGCTCCTGTCCAGTACCATCCACTTTGTTCTTTGTATTTTAGTCGATGGCCTGGATATTAGTGAAAACCTCCGAGGATTTGTCTCACTTTGTCTCCAGACTGAAAGTAGAAGATGAGGACATCACACAGTATAGTCCAGGAGAAAACCCGGCTCCCTCCAATGTCCAATCCGGCACCACCCAGTGTAGATGGGACCATCGGATTTCCTCGTATCCTGAGTGAACCTCAGACTGTGCGGGACCGGGCCGGCCTTCCACTCAGGGAAGAGCATTCTCCTGTACTGAGTGCGGGAAGGGTTTTCGTTATAAACATGGTCCTTAATTGGCATCAGAGATCTCACATGGGGAAGAAGCCGTATTCCTGTCCTGAGTGTGGAAACTGTTTTTCAAAGAAGTCAATTCTTTATAGACATCAAGATCTCACACGGGGGAGAAAGCCGTATTCCTGTCCTGATTGTGTGGGAAATGTTTTTCAGAAGTCCAGTCTTCACATACATCAGAGATCTCACACAGGGGAAAAGCAAATATTCCTGTCCTGAGGTGGAAAATGTTTTTCAGTTGAAGTCCCAAGCTTTACAGACATCAGAGATCTCACACGGGGGAGAAGCCATATTCCTGTCCTGAGTGCGGGAAATGTTTTTTCAGGAAGTCCAATCTTTACACACATCAGAGATCTCACACAGGGGAGAAGCCGTATTCCTGTCCTGAGTGTGGGAAATGTTTTTCAGACAAGTCCAATCTTTACAAACATCAGAGATCTCACACGGGGGAAAAGCCATATTCCTGTCCTGAGTGTGCGGGAAATGTTTTTCAGATGAAGTTCTATCTTTCAACACATCAGAGATCTCAACACGGGGGGAGAAGCCATATTCCTGTCCTGAGTGTGGGAAATGTTTTTTCAGAAGTCCTAATCTTCAGACACATCAGAGATCTCACACGGGGAGAAGCCGTATATTCCTGTCCTGAGTGTGGGAAATGTTTTTCACAGAAGTCCAGTCTTTCACAAGCATCAAAGATCTCACACAGGGGAGAAGCCGTATTCCTGTCCTGAGTGCGGGAAATGTTTTTCACAGTTAAGACCAGGTCTAACACACATCAGAGATCTCATACGGGGGAGAAGCCGTATTCCTGTCCTGAGTGCGGGAAATGTTTTTCAGTGAAGTCCAATCTGACACACACATCAGAGATCTCACATACGGGGGAAAAGCCGTATTCCTGTCCTGAGTGTGGAAATGTTTTTCACAGAAGTCCCATCTTTACACACATCAGAGATCTCACACGGGGAGAAGCCGTATTCCTGTCCTGAGTGTGGGAAATGTTTTTCAGCAGAAGTCCCATCTTCACACACATCAGAGATCTCTCACACGGGGGAGAAGCCCGTATTCCTGTCCTGAGTGCGTGGAAATGTTTTTCACACGGAATCCCATCTTGACATCATAGATGTCCTGGGAGAAGCCTTATTTCCTGATCCTGAGTGCTGGTACATCAGGAGTCCGATCTTCGGGGAACATCCTTTCCAGTACATCAAGATGTCACACAGGGGAGGCCCACTTTCCTGTCCTGAGTGAGGGGAAATGTTCCTCACTGAAGTCTGTCTTCCTGTACATCAGGGGTCTCACACAACCCTGGAGGTGTATTAGTGCCTTGAGTGTGTGGGAAATGTCTTCTAGATGAATGTTGCTGGACATCCCAGCTCTCATGTGGGGAAGAAGCACCCCTGATATACACCTCAGATATACTCCATGGCTGATCTTCATCATGGAAGAAACAGTTGATAAGGAGATGAGAGGCCCCCAAAGACATGGATGAAGTGCAGTCAATGTGGGGTGCAGGAGTTGGTCAGTAGATCCCTGGAAATGAAGGACAGAACTTCAGCCCTTCTTGGGTGTCGGAGTTGCGTTTCCTGATAATGGATAGCGGATTTTTACAGAGCTAGAAGCCGGGAGACACCCAGATCTCGTTATCGGGGAACTTTACACAGACAACAAGAACTTCTGAAGTTGATGTCTTCATTTCCAAGGCTCTACAGAACAGTGGTGACCCCAGCAGCATCTCTCTGTCTTCAGTCCATCCTTCTCCCATCCCCCAACAGGAGGGAAGGAGAACTCCGCCCCAAACTAGGGGGGAACTTTCCTCTAAATTATTTCCCTTTGCTTCTGTGTGGGTTTGGGTGTGGTTGGAGGAGTGCGGCACGAGAGGGAACATCAGCTTGTTGTTCTATGTCCTACATATGGGGTCTCTGGGGTAGAGGGGATCCACCACCGTGGGAAAATATTTCTACCTCTTTGATTTTGTGCAAATCCGTTTCTGTTTTCACTTTGAAGGGCGATATTATGTTGTAGGGTTTGTAAAAGGGATTGGCCCAATAGATACCGCCCCACTTAGAGAATAGATGAACTAATATGACCAGCATTCATTCAGCCATGTCACATGGTGAATTTTATTTCACACTCAGGATTTCCTATGATCATTGGCTCAATCTAGTGGCCAAATGTATTGAACTGTTTTTCCTGATTTATGTGTTTTTGAATAATACTTCATTATGGCCCACTAGAGGGGAGCTTGATGATTATAGGAAATCAGTGTTTATTAAAAATACAGCAGAATTTGTCACGGCTGGGACACATGCTTGTCTCTCTCCCCCGACATATTTTTAGTTGTACTATGTGAGGGGCGGTGTCATACAAATATCGGAGATCACATTCATACATTTATGAGTATAGTAGACATTAAAGACATAAAACCTCGTGGGTTTTTCCTAAGGGGACAGGAGGGTAAACCAACTATTTATTTAAACAATCAAATCTTGGGGTGAGAATCCCCTTTCATCCCTTTAGGTGGCGCTAAGTATCATAGTAATTCGCTCCACCTACTATATGAAAGGGTTAATAGTTCACTCACTTTTTGCTTTGTGCCTACTAACTGGTTTGTTGTACATACAAGATGTTCCCGTGGGATGTGAATGCTGTTATCTATGCACACATTCTTGTTATATTAGAAATCACAGAAGTCACTATCCCTGTTGTATTTTTGTTATGACGTGCCATGGAGTAGTTTTATTGAAATCTCTATTCTGTATTCTGATTGGTGCTTTATGGAAACCACCTGAAATATGCCGCGTTTTCATTTATTATTAAAGCTGACCTCTGTGAATAATAAAGAAGTCACATTTTGCATCACACAATCCAGATGTCTGACTTGCATTATTCCCAAAGTACTTTGTAAACATGGATGTTTGTATGGAGGAGGAGGCCGGCATAAATTGATGTTCCTGACAGAAGTGGTGTCAGAAGTGGGATAGGATCGGCCATCGGAGGTAAGTGAGCATTTGTTGTCTTCCTTTGCCTGATTGCCCCCTATCTCCACCAAGCCTCTGTGCTGCGGTAGCACGAGCAATTGTCCGCTGGAGCTTTGGGAGCTCGCGGGGTTATAACAGAACCTAGGTTGATGTATAAGAAATGTGTGTATGTCCTCCATACAATCATACAGAGCAGTGTGTTCAGTGATTATGTACGCTTGTAACTAGAGAAACTGTTCAGTAGATGTTATTCTAAGTCTCTGTAGGACTGTGAGACGCCCCATCTACTCAGCCGAGGAGATTTCTCCATTGACCTGGGATAGGTGAAAGCATGGTGACAGTCTGAAGGAGTCACAATTAGGGGTGTATCTGTCCAGGTGATTTTCAGCCTTGAAGCACTTGTGCAGTTGAGAAAAAATTTGTCGGAGCTCTACGTGAGTTCAGTCCAGCTTCACCCGGCACAAAGACTCATCACTGGAGAGAAACACATAGGCCAGCTCCATACAGTGAGGAAATGCGTATTTGCTCACCCGGCTGATGTTGAATGTTCGCCCCTCACACAGAATGAACCGGTCTAAACAAGGAATGTTCGGTGTAACACTGAGAGACAGAATAGCAACAAAAAATTCAAAGAAATGCATGTCTAACAAATGATGACTGATCTGCATTTTCATGAGGGAAAGAAGGATTTGATCCCCTATCATTCAGCAGGATTTTCTGGCTCCCAGTGTCTCTCATACAGGTAACAAAGCTGAGATTATGAAGCAGTCTCTTAAAGGGAGTGCTGCTAATCTCATTGTGTTACCTGTATAAAAGACACCTGTCCACAGGAGCAATCAAACCATCAGATTCCCAAACTCTCCACCATGGCAAAGACCAAAGAGCTGTCCAAGGATGTCAGGGACAAGACTGTAGACCTACACAAGGCTGGACTGGGCTACAAAACTATGGCCAAGCAGCTTGGTGAGAAGGTGACAACATTTGGTGCAATCATTTGCAAATGGAAAGAAACAACAAAACAAGTGTCAGTCTCCCCAGGTTGGGTACACCATGCAAGATCTCACCTCGTGAAGTGTCCAGTGATTATGAGAAACAGTGAGGAATCATCCCAGAACTACACGTGAGGATCTTGTCAATGATCTCCAGGCAGCTGGGACCACAGTCACCAGAAAACAATTGGTACAGTAACACACTACGCCGACAAGGACTGAAATCCTGCAGTGCCCGCACGGTCCCCCCCTCTGCTCAAGAAAGCACATGTCCAGGCCCGGCTGAAGTTTACCGCTGAACATCTGAATGATGCAGAGGAGAGGACTGGTGGAAAGTGTTGTGGTCAGATGAGGCCCAAAATCCAGCTCTTTGGCATCAACTCTCAACTCGCCATGTTTGGAGGAGAAGATGGAAGCTGCCTATGACCCCAAGAACACCATCCCAACTGTGAAACGTGGTGGAAACATTCTGCTTTGGGGGGTGTTTTTCTGCTAAGGGGACAGGACAACTGCACCGCAACAAAGGGACGATGGATGGGGCAATGTACCATCAAATCTTGGAGTGAGAACCTTCTTCCCTCAGCCAAGGCATTGAAAATGGGTCATGGATGGGTGTTCCAGCATGACAATGACCCAAAACACACGGCCAAGGCAACAAAGGAGCGGCTCAAGAAGAAGCACATTAAGGTCCTGGAGTGGCCTAGCCAGTCTCCACACCTTCATCCGATTGAAAAATCTGTGGAGGGAGCTGGAATTTTGAGTTGCCAAATGTCAGCCACCAAACCTTAATGACTTGGAGAGGATCTGCCAAGAGGAGTGGGCCAAAATCCCTCCTGACATGTGTGCGAACCTGGTGGCCAACTACAGGAAACGTCTGACCTCTGTGATTGCCAACAAGGGATTTGCCACCAAGTAGTAAGTCATATTTTGTGAAGGGGATCAAATACTTATTTCCCCTCATGAACATTCAAATCAGTCATCATTTGTTAGACGCATTTCTGCTGAATTTGTTGTTGAAATTCTGTCCCTCAGTGTTTACAATACACCGAACATTCGATTTTTTAGACTGATCATTTCTTTGTGAGTGGGCAAACATTAAAAATCAGCAGGGGATCAAATACTTATTTCCTTCACTGTAATATCGCATCTTTGCTTTGCAGTGATGATGGGAAACTCCCAAGGTAAGGGGAAGTACCCAGACCCTCCAGAGCCACCGTGTAAAGTATTCAGAGGAAGAAAACCTGTTAAAGAAATTTACTAAGGAAGACGGATCAGCTCTAGAAAAATCCCAACTACCAGCTAATGAGACATGTAAAGAGTATGTTGCCTGAGTGTCAGTTTGGATTTTTATGTTGTCCAATGGGTGGACAGCCTGGTGGGGTGGAGTTCAACCATGGGGAGTGCCAGTCCTTTTCCCAGAGATGGGGACAATGATGATGATATTCACATGGATATGATAAAGGGGATATATTTAGGGGACAAAACTGCCTTTCCCTATTATATGAGAGGGGGAGCATTGAATTGGTTGAAGTATGCCCCAGGATATAAATGCCTGAAACCAATCCCTGGTTCCCTTCTGCCCCAGTAACTAAACAGACTAATTATTATACAGGATTTATATAGTGCCAACGCTATTTATGGCACTTGTCGCCTGACACACTGCGCTTCCTGATTATACTCAGCTGTATCCTCAGCTCCCTAAGGATGAGGATTATTTGTTGTCACGTAATAGGAGGAGACATGCATTACATTCTGCCCCAAGAGTCTCCCACCGATGAAGGAGGCTGTTTGGCAGTGATCGGTGGTGATGGGGAAGGTTCTTCAGAAGAAGAGTCAGGTTCAAGTGTATCAATGCGTGAAATGAATAAAGAGT